TAAAGAAGCAAGCCGGTGGGTATGGTCACTAATTTCCACAAAATAAAAAATTAATGTTGCCCTTTTGAAGAAAATGCGGGGTGATTGTTTATGAATTGAATTAATTTTTATTGATATGTTTTTTAATTATAGTTAATTTTAAAAAAATATGGTATGGTTAGTTGTTAGCGGATATATTAAAGTAATATTTAATTAAAATAATTAAAGTTTATTTGATATAAATTATAGAAAAATGATTGGAAGTGATAATTAATTAGTTATGTGAGTGGATGAATAGTGGATTAAAATTGATGTAATGTATAATAGTTATTAGTTGATATTATTTAATTATATTGATAACTAGTACAACGCCCGTGTATTACACGGGTGCTTGCTATTTTTTTATTAAAATCTAAAATTAATGAGAAAAAGTAATTGAAAATTTCAATACCTTTTATAAAAATATATATTATTATATATTTAATATGACACTTTTTTATTTGTGCGACCTACCTGTGTTATATTATAATATTATTTTGACTTACAACATATAACTACATTAAACATAAATATATCAATTGAGAAATAATTTTATTTTCTAATGAATTTTAATAAATATATTTATTTTTTATTATTATAAAGATAAATATGATTTATTTATTTCATACATACAATATGGATGTCAAATCGAAGATCATCAAAAGATAATTAATTTGATATATTATATATATAAAACCGATAAGAAATACAAAAGTTATTAACTTTTAAAATACATTTACAATTCAATAGCTAATGGAAGGAAATATATCGATATATATTAGTCACTTAGTGTCTCACTATGTAAAATTACAAAGAATTAAATGGTTATATTAGTAAAAGTTATATTAAAATACATAAGTTAGCTAAATAATATTTATGGAATGTACGAACCTAGATTATTAATTATTAATATATCAATATTATTGTCCAAATCTAATTACGAAACATGATTTTTTGTCAAGTAGGATTCCGAAACACCAGAAACAACCACGTAAGTTCAGCGCATTCAAAAATAATCCTGAGAGGATATTGATTATACTAAAATTAAGTTAAATTTGAGTTTTCTTTTGGATTTTTTATCTCCCCTTAACATATAAAAAAATGTTGTAGGGGTTCTATGCTTGACATGTGTCCTTTTTTTGCCCAAAATGCCCCTCATGTTGTCATTGAATGTTGTACAAGAAAATTGTACAAGTAGCTTTTTCCTTTTTGTTTTTAAGTTCACATGTTTATGGGGTTAGTATAGTCATTTGGTGTAAAAAATTTTTCATACATTTTTTCCCAATTCTGCCATGCCTCATTCCGGATTTTCGGGATTTGTTTACAGCTTTTTCATACGGACTTTGCTTAGAGTTTTGTTATCAATTTCTTTCTTTTTCTTCTCTTTTCACATTGAAGAAACTCAGTATGAAGTGCAGTTCTGTTCAGAAATTTTTTCTCTTACCATTGTTAGAAATTTTAATTGGGATTTTATCCTCAATATTGTCTGCCTTTTTTTTTCGTCTCTGTTTGTCGAGGATCGTCAACTCGACTCGACTAATATTGTCGAGGATCGTCAACTCGACTCCACCCGAGTCCAGGAGGTGAATTGACTAAGTTCTCCAAAGCTTTTGTATTCATAAGGTTAACTGGACATTTGGTGGATTGTGTATAAAGCCCTGTTTTTTGTTTGTTTTTTGCTTCAGGCTATGGCTACGATTGCTGCATCAAAAGAAGCTGATATTCAAACTGCTAGATTGAGGTTCATTTTCACCTTTTCTTTTATCATACCATCCTTTGTTTTTTTTTTTTTTTTT